AATATAATATTATATGAAAATATGATATTATGTGAAAATATGACAAATTGTACCAAACATATTTGCTGTTAACAAAACTAACATTTACAATTATAATTGGTAAAGTGCAATAGGCAAAGAACATTTGCCTAATTTTTTTTTTTTTAAAGGGAAATTTATCTTTCTTGAGAAAAATTAGTAACACGTACAACTTGTCTACTTAGACTGGAACAAACTAACAATGTTTCAGATATTTAGCCACCCACCCTATTTGTAGGCATATATTATTTTTATAAATATACAGAGACAATCGCAAAAAAATTGATTCTTTCACTGATATGAGAAAAATTTTAAATCTTGAGCAAATAAAATATTTTTTAGTTTTAAAGCTAAAAGTTCAAACTAAAAATGCTAAAAGTGGGTAAATTTATCTTATATTTAAAAACACACAGACCAACACAAATACTTTTTATAGAACAAATAACTGAACTAATAAAAATTGTAAATAATGATTAATATATGCACCATTAGTTAAATGTAGGAGACAGTTCACATATTTGAAACAAGCATAAAATATAGAGAAATAATTTTAAAATATATTTAAAATTGATGAATTTCAAATTAGAAAAATTAGTCTTCTTATAAAAATACAGCAGATATTTTATGTTTCATAATAACAATGTAACAAGATGCCAAATTTTTCAAATGCTAAACTAAATCTTTTTTATGAATATTTTTCTCAAGTAAAACTCATACCCTCACTATGGACATAATATAAGAACTGGAGATGCCTGAATTAAACTGAAGATATTTTTTAAAAAAATCTTTGTTTTTACACAAAATTTGATAATTATGAATTTGTTAGAATGTATATGTATACACATATATAATATATATGTATATGCAAAACACAATGTAAAAATAAGCAATTTAGTTGAATACTGAAAGAAAATGCATGTCTTACTAAAATTTAAAAATATCTTAAATCTAATAATCTCCATGTTTTTAGAACTCTTCAGTTCCTTTTACTTAATTGCCATGGTTAACAAATTAAATACAATTTTGGACTTGCACATGCAAGGAAAGAGACATCTTATAATCTATCTAAAATGGCACATAATATATCAATTAAAATAATATATAAAAATTTTAAAATGTAATAAAAAGGAGGTAAACATCAGCTCACTCATCCAGATTCTGGTTAAAGCAAATGAATTGTCTAAGGAAGCTCTACTGCAATTTCAAATAGTTTAGCATATGAATCAGGATTAATTTATTATTTTTATTTATAAAGGAAAGAGGCAATGTGAAATCACTTCATCTGCCAAGTGATGAAGCAAACTATCTTTTACACAATCTAGCAATTTCAAAAACTCAGCCTTGATACAAGCAAGAGAAAATACATCCCAAAATACTGAAAAGTTATCAAAAAGAGAGCTAAAAGAAATTTCTAGGTTTTGTTGAGAAAAACTACCAGAGAGATTCATATCAGCCAAGAAACATTGTTTAATTCTTTTTGAAGGGAACGTGGAAACACTTGGACTTCAACCTTAAAAAATTGGGGAGGGGGGCCCTCAGAAGTTTACTGAAAACAAACATGCAAGATCTCAGTGATACTCAGCACTACTCAAATATACAGGGTGAATATGAACAAGTAGGCAAAACTTCAGGAGCTGATAGAAGGCAGCTATATTATCATTATTCATCGTATAATGTATGGTTGGAACGCAAATGGTGAAAAGTTAGAGTAGTTTTCCACTGTCACATTTAAGGAATTAACACAAGATTGAGAGAAGATATTTCAGAAAGCATTTTATTAACAGGAATGTAACTGATGTACATGCTCAAAATACCTTCCATTAGCTTTAATGCAGGCTTCACACCTTTGGGATAGGGACTGACACACATTTGCAAAGATACCAGGAATTTCCTGAATGACTAATCCATATCGATTATAACGGGGCACTCAAAGATTAGGCTTTTCATATAACTCGACAGGAAAAAGGTCAAACACAAGAGATCTGATGATCTTGGTGACTAAGCTACGAGACCACCTCCACCAATTCATCGCCCTGGAAATTCCGTGGTTCATAGAACCAGCCATCCTCTCGACAATCCATGGTAAAAAATGTCATTAGGTTCCTTTACAAGGACTGACCCTTTTATACCATTTACAATGACACCTAGCGGCTCACTGTTTGCATTCCTACCATAGATTCTATGATTAATATCGCTGGTATAGCTAACTTCTATTACCCCTAAAATTTTACCTAATTGTTTAAATTTACCTTACAAATGATGGTAAAACCATTGAACAAGTTCACAGAAGTAATGACAGAATTTAACCTGCAAATATTTATGGATACTGTCATTATTATAGGTATCTATAATAATTTGAAAAGAATTTGGAATATGTGTTAGCAGAATAATAGCTTTTGTTTCTGTTGATCAAGAGATAAAAATAACCAACATATATATCACAAGCATACTTGGAAAACTATTTTGCTTCTTTGGTCAAAAAAGCATTCTGGAAAACAAGACTTCAGTTGAAAGTGCTCAAGAATGGTGCATGGAACTATTTGCAGACTTTCTATAGCACAATGAATATAGAAAGAATACAGTTTGCTCTCTTGATTTAAACCCTATGAATTACTTGGCATAGTTACGCTCAGTACAAATTTGCACTAAATACCATAAAAGTTTTAATTTTTTTTTTAATGAAAGGAAACTTTTAGCAGATGAATTGAGACTCACTAAAAATTGTATCAAACCTTTATATGCCACATACATATATGTAAGGCAAAGATGGACACTTTTCGAATTTGTACATGCATTCCTTTTATTATTTTACTTTTTGTGGGAGAGAAGGAAGGACAGATATATTTTAATATGCATTAATCCTTTAATGGTCATGAATAAGACTAACTTGCAGTTAATGTAAAAGGACTTAGCTCATTCATATAATTTGTCCTAGCAGAATATAAATAAAATTTGCTTGAAAAGCTTTGTTTTGTCCCAGTATGTACAGTCAAGCTTGTTCTTTGAAATAAGCAAACCCTGAATAACACCTTAGAAGCTAATTGATAAGACTACTATCTACTTCATGTACTGGACAAATAAGATTATCATTGTGCATCTGAATTTTCCAATTCAATATTTTGGCAATCTCATTGCTGAAATGCAGGTCAAAAACATAAAAACTGGTGATTTCCATTAACATTCTTCATTTCATTTGTGCCACTATAGCAACATAATTCCACTGGCAACATGTATAACAGCTTAGTATGGGACACTGCCAGTATCTGGGTTTTATATGGCACTTCAATGATCGTGAATTATTTGTTTTTGTTTCCGCTGTTAAAAAATGGAAAAAGAAAACTTTTCAAGTAGTTAATAAATTTAATGCATTTAAAAATGATTCAGAGAAATTAAGTTGTCTGTTCCAAAAAAACAGCAGAAAAGTGAGAATTGTGAAATGTGTGATAACTATGACTAGTTGTAACATATCCCAAATGCACGCGGAACAAGAATTTTTTTAAATGTAAAATTTAGATTTTATCAATAAAATAAAGATCTATAGTTTTCTTTTCAAAATAAAATTTTTAGTTTAAAAAAATTCTTTACAGATATGTACAAGATTTGGTAGATCATATTCAAAAGTGCTTAGAATGTAAAGGGAAGGAATTAAGATTTGGAAAATAATGAACCTAAACAAACAGTTATGAAAGACTCAAATTTGAACATGATTGAAAAATGTGTCCTCAGCTTCAAAACAGCAAACACGGGAAGATGCTTTCACTAGCAGTTTACAGTGTTATGGAACTATTAACCCTCTGAGTGGTACATCCGACTTTATTTGGACACAGATTTTTTTTTTTTTTTGTTACTTGGTATATATTAGCTTATAATTTAAGATACTTTCCTTTCTTACTTTCTTTAATAATATAAATGTCATCTTAATGAACTAAGTTTATGAAAATAGAGACTAAAACAACTAATAAAACAAATTTAATTACTAGATGCTGTTTAAATACAGGTCTTCGTGACAAATCCTCAAACCAGCAATACTCAGAATTCAACATCCTCCAACTCTGAGTCAGTTCAATTTTACATGTGAAGGTATGAAAGAACAAGTGTTCTATTAAGAAATGTATATAGTTCCCCTCTCAGAAAGTTAATTTTAAGGAAGTATCTTATTATTTATATAATACAGAAATAATAATCAAGCATTCTTTTGGTGTTTCTGCATTAGCAAACACTACAAAACTATTATTCCACTGTTTAATTTAGATTTAGGTTATATACATAGAATTTTTTTATAGTTTTATTCATCTTTCTAAATTCTGCTTATTATAATGTATTGCGATTTGGAACAATTTAGGCATATATTCAAAGAGAGAGGGTCATAAAAAATCAAAATGGGTTCTAAACTTTAAAATTTTTTTCTTTAATCCCCGAATGGCATAGTCACCTTATTCAAGTCATGAGACATCTTTTTTCGAGGGGGGTAATTTGGTGTGTATTAATTTATTTAAAATACTTTGTTTTCTTTAATGATCTATATATTATCTTAATGAAAGTTCATGAAAACAGACTAAAATAACTAATTATACAAATTTAGTACACAAATGCTGCAAATATATTGTTGCACTTTTCGTGTTTTCAGCACTGTTATGTATTAAAACAAAATCAGAAAATAACTGAAACTTCAAATACTTCACAAAATTGTTTATTCAATGATGTATGCAGATTTCATAAATGAAATGATTCAGTTCTTCTTCCAAATGCCTGCACAGATCAGATTCATATATTTCTTATATATGAAATAAATACTTAAATTTAAAACATTACATTACTAAAAAATATTATAAAGCTGAAAATTTCTTTTAAGCTTACTCTTAAATTTGAAACTTAAAAACAATTATTTTTATATTCAACAATTTAAGCACTAACTAATAAATTTTACTGTATTAATGTAAAATTATGTGGTTAATTAAATAACAAGAACATTTTGAAATTATTTTTTTTTATGCATAACTAAGATTATGACAAATGAATATATATGAATATGTCCTAACAAAATTTAGAAGAAAGAAAACTAAATGCAATGTACAAAATGAAAAAGAAAAAAAAGGTGTATATACAATTAGCATTTCTGCAATAAATGTCAATATATCACATTTTAAACTGAAGCATATACTTACAACACTTGCTTTTGAACATAATTATAAATCAGCTGCATATTTACAGTATTTTTACATAAATATTTACATTTTACACAATTTATTATAAATAACAAAGAAAATTCAGCACCACCTGAATATTTAGGAACATTTCATAACAAAATTTGTTTAAACACATAAAATGGGGAAAAAATTTAACATGTGATAGGCACTACACTGAAACACCTGAGATAATTAAATTCTATTATAACTTTACACCTTCTGAATAACTAAAATATATTTCATGCATAAAAATATTACAATTTGCTACTCATCAAATTTATAATCATAGTCAAAATGGAATCACGTATCAATATAAAACTCAGTGAAATATTTTCAAACAAAAAGCTTTTTTTACCTATTATGCAAAATTTTTTCAATTTTACATGACCTTAAAATTCAATTTTTAAAAGGCAGAAAATATTGTGACAACATGAGAAATTAAAAAGTTAAATTAGAAGTGCAACTCATTTTCATTATCGGACTCGGATTCACTTAGTATTAAATCATCACAGATGTTATCACAGGTACTTGGGGGGAAATGCTGCAAAATATTAATATTACTTCCAATGCTCTCTGAATCTTGAATACCATTACATAATAAGCTCTGTGACTCAGAGAAAACTGGAGGACTAGATGAATTACTTCTTTCTTCATGACAATCATATAAAGGAAATTGTTCGTAAGGAGATATTTGAAGTCTACTTTTATCAACAATCTCTACATCAAAATCACTTCTATCTGAGGACATATTTTCTTTCTCATAACTTTTATGAGAACTTCCTACAGATTCTACATCTACACAAGAATCTATATCTGCTGAACCATTAAAGTTATCAGAAGAACATATTTCAATTTGATTTTCAGAAGTTTTATCTTTTTTTGATATCGTAATATTATTCAAACCAGAGTTTTCAGAATTCTTTATTCCTAACTCAAGACTTTGCAACTGTGGTTCATACATTTCTAAAGATACTTTACAAGCATTTACAATATTCTGTGCAATCTTCGTAAATGGACTTTCAGCGCCATTGAATGTCTTGCTATTCATAAAAATGAGTTCTACATCACATAGAAAAGCAGACCTAGTTTTGTACTTGTGAGACTTACAATTTCTTATGATAGAATCTAAATCCATAGGATTTTTGATTATCTCATAATAACCTTTGGCTGAACGTTTATCAACAGGTTTATGGAATGGCCATGACTCAGGTACTGCTTTTAACTGATCAGATACTATCCTTTCTAATATAAATGAGAATGCTACCTGGTCATCATCTAAGAGAGGATTGATAGCTTTCTCTAGTTGCATTAGCTTTTCTTCATTTTCAGTAAAGTTTTTTATGCAATGATTTAACATTGTGTGTGCAGTTATAGTAAGAAAACTGTGATTGCCATTATATGTACTGCTATTTTCTAATATCTGATTAATATCAGCTAAGAAATCTTTACGACATTTATACTGTTGTTTACGAGCCTTCTCTCGCATGGTTTGCAAATCCATTGGCTTTGTAATAATCGAGTGATAATTAGATGCTTGTTTGACACTAACAGGAAACCAGAAAGGCTGTGTATCAGGCAAACTTTTTATCTCATTAATAAGGTTTTCAAATATGACACTTAAAGAAACAACAGGATCTATTCTTTTACGATTTACAAATTTTGGAGCACTCATATAGTCAGATGATGTTACTTCATAATTTCTTTTCTTTTTTGAGGAACTGACAGCTTCCTTGGGAATCTTCAAAACCAAAGCTTTTCGACGAACTTCATCTGCCCGTTTCAGAAGTTGCTTGGATACAATGATTTTAGTTTCATCCAGTTTTATAAGATTTTGATCAACTAATCCAGCTTTCTCCTCGGCTTCTTCTTGTTCTTCAGTCATTGCAACCTGGATAGGTGGCAGTGTGGGTGAAGACTGATATAATGGACAAGCTTTATTTGTTCGCATATGACCAGTTGCTCCACAAGCACCACATTTTACTTTGAACAAAGATGGCGACTCGATTTTCACTTTTTTCTTCTGTGGTTCTTTAGTTTCTCTTTCTTTTAACTCTTTTCTCCTCAACCTTCTTAACTGATCTTGTAGACGCCTTCTTTCTCTTCGACATTCCTCTTTTCGTGCCTCATCAAGAGCAAAATTTTTTATAAATTCCTCATCTTTTGTGTCTCTTATTTTAGTGTACAGTTTAATTACTTCTGACTTTCGGACAGTTTCTACTCGCTCATAGGTATATCCATTTTCTTGATAAGTACGATATATCCTTAAAATTTTACCTTCAAAACCAGAGTTACTTTTTTCAGATTTGCACTTTTGATTTTCTTCAGAAGTCGACTCTGATGTCATTAACTTCTGTAATTCTTTCCTTTCAGCTTCCTCACACTCATGTGATAGTTCTTGAAGAGATTTCTTATTTGAAATGATGCTCTCAAGATGTTTTCCCATTTCTTCCAAATCTGAATCGCCTTCTGAACTTGAATCTTCATCAGTAGATAAAACTTCATTTGATGATAAAACTCTATTTTGTAAATCAAATAAACGTTGACATTCTTCTTTATATTTCCTTAAATGTTCAGCCTGACTAAAAAAATTACCTCTTGCAAACTTTGTTACTCCTTCCTCTCCTAATTTAGCCTGTTCAGTTGAAAGAGTTCTGACAACATCAATGATCTGCCATCGTGTCAGTTTCTTAATTTCATGTTCAGGTACATTAAAAGTTTTCAAAAGTTTTTTGGCACTGCTTAAAGAAAGCCGACGCAAATCAGCATCAGTTCCTTTAACCAACCTCTTGGCAGGATTCAGAATATTGTTTTCCTCTTTAATCCACTGAGGTTTGTTAGGAATTTTCACATAAGAAAATCCTTCCCCACAACCAGTTGGGTCAGCTGCTCCTAAAAGATCCAAAAGACACTTTCCTCTAACAGCAGATATAAAAGCTTGTGTAGTATTCCACGGAGCTGCTTTCACTTCATCATCAATTTTATTTTGTAAATTATCTGTTTCTTCTTCATCCATGAGCAAAAATTTATCACCATATCCTGCATCCTTCAGCCTTTGTTCTGCAGCAAGCATACTGTAATAAGCACAACACTGTTCTGCCGATATAATTTCTCGAATTTCGTCTTCGCCTGGGAGACGAAAACTGCTTTTTAAAACCCAAAATTTGGAATCAAAGCCTGTTCTTTGAAAATCTGCACATAAGTTGAGGCGTTTGCGAATATTAAATTCCCTGTGAGAAGGGAATGCTTTGCGAATGTCTTCCATTTTTATTCTTCGTGGATTATCTTCACTTTTCCAAAACAAACGATAAATAAAAACCATCAAGAAATCTTTGATAAAATTATTAGCTTTCTCAGATTTAGGTGCAGGCACTTCAACAAGAGGAAGCTGTTGTCCCACAGTGAATACAGTTTCTACTTCTCTGATGAAATATCCAGTTCTTGTACGTATAATTAGAAAGTCAGTGTTTTCAGTAGCATGCTCATAAATAGGTGATCGAAACAAATTATTTTCATATGCTTGCAAACTCTGCCCAGGAAGAAGGGAACCAAGAAATGGAGAAGTATGAGCACAAGTAGTTTCCCCATACTTGTACTCTACTAACGCCGAATCTTTCCCAGGTTTCCTCCGATAGTAATTCCGCACCCTTGATGCCATACCAATTTGGTTCATTAACGGTGGATGTTCTTCAGAAAATTCAAAAAGAACTAATTCTGCATCCTTGCCACTCAGATCATATGGTGTTCTCATGAAAAACATTTCACCTCCACCCGATTCCTCGAGTTCACGTTGTCTTTGCTTTTTTTTCTCTTTTATAAAAGAGGTAAGGGAATAAACACCATGGAACTTTATTTGTGATAATGGTCCATGAGAATATTGTCTTAGAGCTGGACGATGAAACCGACGGAGTTTCAATGGTCCCATATAAGTAGGAAAAAATGAAGCATGCAGTTCAAGAGCTGGAATAGAATGTGGTAATAAACTACCAGCATAACCTAATTTTAATGCAGTATCCTCCGTCATCTTTGAATTATAATACTCATCATTAGAAATATTATAAAAATCACTTTTCTTATTTACAGGGTTCAAAAGTTCAGGTTCTTCTTCATTCTGTTTCATAATGGGACGGTATTTTCGATCTTTATGATCTTTTACAGGTTCAAAATTATCCACTTTTGAAGGCAAATCTTCTGGTATTTCTAATATTATATTGCTATCATTTATTTCTAAATTTTTGGGACCAGATATTCTATTCATAGCTTCATAATCCCAAATGACATCATCTTCCCAACGATCATAGAGAAGATGTGGATTTTCTTCTGGAAATATTGAATACATTTCTCTTTTCTCTTCCGTATTAACTTTATTCATTTTATTAAAATTTAAAAATCCAAATTTGAATGCCCTTTCAGGCTGACTAGAGAGAGGTTTAAGATGTTCACGGTATGACGACACTGTTCGATCTGCATTAATTGGAACCCAACCTGCAATTTTGTTTGGGTTATATACATTTTTCATAACTTCTTCTTTTACCTCATCTCCATCCCAGATAACATCATTTTCCCAGTCTTGCTGAGCAACCATCAAAAATGCATCATCATGCAAATCATCATCACAAGGCAGATGCTCATCTGAGGACTGCTTCAATTTAAAACCATAATCATAAGTTTCAGCTGTTTCAGGCACCTCTACCATATCATACCATAATTTTGCAGGACCAAATCTCCAGCTATTGTTTAATGGCACATCACATGAAATGTCAGAAACATATTCTTTCTGTTGCAAAAACAGTTTTTCTTCATCAGATTCTACACTCCAATCAGATTCAGGAGAAATTATTTCTTCTGTAACAGGCTTCTTGTTTTTCTTCTTAAGTTCAGACCTTTTTCTAACACTGCGCCAGATATCAGGATTATTACACTTTTTCCCAAGACCCAACCTTAAAAATCGTAAAGTTGCATTCTCCCGAAATTCAGGATAAAATTCTCTCACATCCACATTTTGATATTTAGCTGGAAGAACATATGCAAGAGGTTTATTTTGAGTAATTCTATCCTCATCCGCAATATCTGGTGACTCAGTCACCATACACTCTTTTGAAAAGCAATTCACAGCAGAGTTCTCAGAGTCAATACTAATCAAATTTTCATGTATAACAGGTTCTGCAGTTTTTTCAGATATTTTATCCATAACACATAAATCCATAACTGTAGAAAATTCAGACTGAAAGCCATTATTATTTACATATCCATCTTCTTCCATGCTTCTCTTTCATAATCCGACTTCTGAAGTTAAGACATCTGGCTGGAAGACAACAGTATGGTAAATTACTGCTCTGCAGAAAAAATAATTCAGTTTATATACATACACAAAGATATATTACATACTGAAACAAAACAATTATAAGAAAATTAACTATAAGTTATGCGACTACGTGAATTTTGATTCATGTTGCTTAAACATATGTTAGAATTCAAATCAGAAATGATGAATTTAAATAATTGCTTAATAACACCAGCTAAATGTCAAATGGTAGGAAAACCCGGTATAGAAAATTTCTACTAAGAATTTTTTCAATAGATTAATAAGCATATAATACATATACAAGAAAGATAATTTATCTGTATAAAAACAATACTCAAATTCAAGTTTACACATGTAAAACATAAAATCTGATACAAAATTATTAAAATTAATTGGAACCAATTGGAAAAAACTTTAAATTCATAAATTTTAATTAAACACATTCTTGCTTCAACAATGTGCTTTGCACTATTTTTTGTCGCTCTGCAGCATGTTACATCCCAATTTCTCTCCACTGTGAAACCTTCAGCCCAAATGCTGCTCAGGATTGACACTAAGACTTGCTAATTAAAATACAACTGCAGTTAGTATGCATTACTTTTTCTCACCTGCTGCTGCTTAAATAAACCCAGTCTCTCACTTTGTCTTCTTTTTCTACTGTTTAAAAAAATAGGAGGGCATATTTAAAAATTTGGGAACCGGACTACTCCCATTATGTTGTGATACTCAATATGATGTTTGAATAGCTCAATCATCAAGTAATAAAGATATAATGCACTTATCGAAGAATCCTGTGGTTCTTAAGAGTTCACAACATCTATTACATCATCTACATTGTGTGGCACATCTGTTACCACTTCGACCATGACTGCAAACCTCTAAACTATAACATGACATACATATAATAACAGAAACATTTGTGTGAAGAAATAATAAAATTAAGGTCCTGCACTTGAATCATCACAGATAAAATATTGAAAAATTAACCTAAACAAAATCTTACATTAAAGAAAGTGTTTAAATATCTAGCATTTAAAAACAGCACTGAAATCACTGCATAAGTATCACAATATTAGCAAAAATATCTGTGCACTATTTCAATTATTAATCTGTGTAATTAAAAATATCTGTGCACTATTTCAATTATTATTAAACAAGTACTATTAGAGAGCTTTTTTTAAAAAAATCTTCTACAAGAAAATTCATATGTATCTGATGCTAATTATCTGTAATAAATCTTTTAATGTTATCCAAGTTCTCCACAACAACACTCTGCATTGGATTTTGCCTTTGAGAGTCCAAGACAGACCAAATTTGGGACTCTTTCCTTTAAGATGTTAATTTAAATGTGAAAAAAATGGTATATTGGTAATTATTATGGCGCACAACCTGTACAGGTTATTAGCGCCAGACACATGACAGTTAAAAACAAGTTACAGTCACATCCACACATAAATTCTACACAATCACAAGTTTAAAACACGAACAGACTTATAAAATAAAAAAGAGGTAATAAAAATGGTGAAAGTTAAGATGAAGTAACTCATGAATTGGGTAATGATATAAAATGTGATGAAGTAATAAAATATGATATACAATAAAATTTATAGCACTAAAATCCAAATACACATCAAAAGAAAATCAAATTAAATAACAAAAAAACCACTCTCCTTGAGGTACTGAACTAAATTAGCATTGGCCACTTTCCCGATTACATGGTCAAGAGGCAGGTCAGAGTTGTTAAAGTACTTCAATCTAAGCGAATTAAAATACGGACATTAAATTAAAATATGACGCACTGATAAAAATATTCTCACAGTGGGAATAAAAAGGTTCACTCTCGGCCTTCAAAAGGTAACTATGTGTTACACGAGAGTGACCAATATGAAGATGGATTAGAATTACATCCTCCCTTTGGTTTCCTTAGAGGTTTCACAATTTTAAGCTTATTGTTAACCAGGGCATCCCATAGCTGCTGCCACTTCTTTAGGACTTTTCCCTTGATAACCTTTTTAATATCCATCAGAGGAACATGCTGGCTGCACAGATCAACAGCAGATTTCGCTGTGATATCTGCAAGCTCATTTCCTTTGATCCCAACATGACCAGGAACCCAGCAGTACAGAACTTGGTATCCATGCAACTGTAAGCTTAGATTTAATTTTAGAATTTCAACTACTACAGGATTGCGATCGTTGGAAAAAATTTCTAAAGCTTTCCTTTCACTGTACAAGTCTGTATAAATTATGAACTTTTTCTGGGATATCTTTGATATGTAAATAAGTGCAGAGTATATGGCAATCAGCTCAGATGTCAAGACTGAGTAAGCGTAGTGCAAGCATCTGCCCCCCATGTGGTCACCCATTACAAATCCTGCTCCAACATGGTAAGCTATTTTTGACCCATCTGTATGTATATACGGCCACATGACAGCTATATTCATATCTGTGTTCAAAGAAGAGTTGTTTATATACAATCTCCCAAGTGCTCTGCTTATCATGACTGGAAAATATCAAGAAGCTTGATTCCCGCATCTTCCCAAGGTGGGATTTCAAGACGATGTACTGCTTGGGTGGACATATCAGATATGGAATACTCCTCAATCAATGAGCAAGCTCTTATGGAGGAAGGAACACAAGATGGTCATGCTTCAAACAGAAGGTCACACATGTCATCAAGCAAACATAGCTTACTAGGATGGTCAGGTTGAGATAATATATTAAAATACTGTAGAAGAGACAACTGCTCACATCACAAATGGAGGGCTGGTTCATAACAATTAACATACAGGCTCTGGACTGGAGATGTCCTGAATGCCCCAGAACATATCTGCAGTGCCTGATGATGAACTGGGTCTAGTTTCAAGCAAAACTGATGGCCATGCAGATCCATAAACAACTGAGCCATAATCTAGTATGGAGCGGACAAGTGCACTGTAAACGCGAAGTAAAGAGCAGCACTCTGCGCCCCAGGAGGTTTTTCGCCAAGACTTTTGAGAATATTCAACATTTTGGTACACTTCTTCCATAGATGTAACACATGAGGGAGGAAGGTAAGTTTTCAGTAAAACAGCCCTTCCAAAATCTTTACTTCAGGTTGTACTGGAATCAGTGATCTATGAAGATGTAACTCAGGCTCAGGAAGACCTCGCTTCCTGCAGGAAGTGCAAACAAACAGTCTTTTGCTTCGAAAACAAGAATCCTTGTTTGTCTAACCAGTCCTGAATCCGGTTCAGAGTTATCTACAGTTGTCTTTCTACATGTCTCCCCCATGACAGCTAATCTGCAGATCATCAACATACAACAATCCTGAAACAGTGGGAGGAAGGTGCTTTAAAACAGAGTTGATTTTTAATATGAACAAAGTAACACTGAGCGTACAGCCTTGAGGCACACTCTCTTCTTGTAAAAAGATGTCTGATAAGACAGCACCAATCTTCACTTGAAAAGTCCTTGCCCTTAAAATTTTTTTAATGAAAATAGGCAGGTTGCCATGCAAGCCACAGTCGTAAAGATCACGCAGTATACCATATTTCCATGTTTATCATAAGCATTCTCATTGTCAAAAAAGGGAGACAAGATGGTTTCTTTTTACAAAGGCTTTACAAATGGATGTTTCTGAAAGGAGCATGTTATCCATGGCTGTTTTTCCTTTTCGAAAAATGCTCCGATAAGGCGATATGATATAATTTTTTTCCAAGAAATAGACTAGGCGGCTGTTTACAATTTTTTCAAACACCTTACACATGCAATTCGTAAATGCAATGGGCCAATAGTTGGAGGGATGCTTCGGGTCTTTTCCTGGTTTAGGTATATGCATAACAACAGCTCTCTTCCATGCAGTAGGGAAAATATACTCCTTCCATACTAGAGTTCGCGTCTTTCGTTAGCGCTGTAGGTCAACATTTTGTCGCTCCGTCTTCCAAGTCCTTTTCAGCGGATTACTTTAGTCCACACTGCCAAAAGTAACATCAACGGAAGTGCATTACGTAAGGAACATAACAATACCAAATTTTCGGTGCTGTGATCATTAGTTCCTGTTTAATTAACTTTTTCAAATATTCGTAATATCTACCATTCACCACAGACTTTCATCAGAGCTTAGAAGCCCCTGGAGAAGCCCTTGCTTTCTCGACGTCTGAGTGTCTTACATCAATATACGCACGACATCCTGAGGAATAATTTGGTGCAAGTTTCAAGTGAATCGGTCGATTAGTTAATTAATTACGAGCAAAAGCGTATTGGTTTTCGCAAACGTTGCAAGCACACTGAAGCAGCGAGTCATCGCATACCTCAGCGACCGTTGACGACGGTTAACAACAAGGAAGCTCCCCTTCCCCAGAGCAACAAAAGGGAACTGAGAGTTTTTAATTATCTTCATAACCCTGCTAATTACAATCGTATCTTAATAGTACCAGGAACGGAAGTTATTTCATCATCTCCTGAACTGACACAAGATTCCTAAATTTCAAGTTAATCGGACAATTAGTTGAATTTTTACAACTTTTTTCGCCTAATTTTCGGACTTAGCGACTGTTAACCAAAGAAAGTTGCCTCCCTCGGCAATACAAGGTACTTGAAGATTTTAATTAATTCAATTACTCAACCAATTAGCATCGTACCTTCACAGAGTAATGTCTAAAGTTGATCTCATCGTTTGCGCAACACAAGTTAAAAAAAAAAAAAAAAATTAAGAAAATCGGTCATTTATATAGTTTTTTTTTTCTGTGTTTCTTCAGCTTACTTGTGTGTTTCTAACTTCTTGTATGTTCCTTACTGTATTACCATTATACTTACAAGCACAAAAGAACAGATGAAGTTTTGTGGCCAAGGTATGCGACTATTTACATACATTTAATTACGCTGTCAGCTAGTTTTAATTATCTCAATTTTACTCATAATCTTGGAATTTCTTCTCAAGTTGCTTTAATAGTGATTATGCTTACTTTCATTCAAATAATAAATCTATGTGTTTATATTACACCTAAGTATTTTGACAAT